CTAGGGTCTAGACCGGATTACAAGTTGGCAGCGGAGCCTCGGACCGCACGCAATGCAACGCAACTAACGACTGAACTATGGCCCACCCACCCAATACACCCGCTGCGTCGACGCCGACTGCGCTGCCCCGGTGCTATCTTCTAGTTACTAGCTCTACCTTAGCTCTACCTCTAGCCCCGAACCACTAGCCATTGGCGCTCCTGACACTGCCACAAAATAAGCGGACCACGCAGTGTGAACGATAAGATAAGCCCGCAAGCTAAGGCTGTAATATTCATAGTTCCAGATAAAGCTCTCTCCGGAGAGGGTCCGCCGGTTCATGCTTACCGGCTTTCTGCGGCCGAAATGTACCGAACCCTTATCGCACGATATGCTAGACACCAATATAGAGTGCTCTAATTTCGCTAAACAATCCTGACGTAGATCTCGATAACGATAAACGCGCGTGCGGACAATTATTTGGGGATTCTTTATCAGGACTGAACGTGGTTCGCAAGTGAGTCACCACGGGTTAGAGATTTGATTTCGGGAATTTGAAATGATTCACTTTCGAAAACCATCCTTTGATCGAATAAAGGTACTCTTTAAGAATTAGACATACTTAAGTGTGTTCAATTAAATATTAAATACTTGAATTCAATATATACAAATTTTAGAAAATAAACTATACCTATGTTTTGATTTTTTTTATGTTGTCAAGTACAACAGAAAATATTGTTGTAAAATGGTTATTGGTCGGAGTATCATTTGCTTATATCAGCACTGAAAGAGTATTATTTTTAAATATTTTTTTTGATTGCTTAAATATTTTCTTTTTATAATAGACTATTATATGGTTCATTTATTCTTGCTAGATAGAATTTGTACCTTGATCAAGGCAACCTTAAAAATTATCAGGAAAGATTAGGGCCTAAGCTTTTACACTCCGCAATAAAGTGGTTTTGTGAAGTTTAAACTGATTCTTCCTATGTGGCAGGCGTTCGATTAGCCTTAATCTGAGTGTACACATTCTATGACGACAGCTCTTTAAGCATTACAAACTTCTGAAAAAAATATAATACCCTCTGCAAGGGAATTATAAACCTTGTCCTCGACTAAGTAAAAGAGTGAAATTAATCATATATTACAAAAATAAAACGAAATATATGTATTTTGTATATAAATAGGCTGATATAAATAACAGTGGCAAAAAAGCATGCTTATCATATAAAAGAAGTCGATTAAGGGGCTAACAGTTGGGAAAAGCCACAAGACCATCATTTGAATGTATGTTTGAGCACTAAAGGTGAATTTGTAGGGCATCTCTTTGGGTTGGAAAACCGCGGAGAAACCCAGTTTTTATATGTACTACTAATAAACACGAACTAGATACACTGAGATAAAATTGACACATAGTATAATACTTAGGTAAATAATAGAGTTTATTGAAGAAACATATTTAAGACACAGAACCCCGGTGTTTTGTCTAGTTAAGGAAACCATTTCTGTTGCACCCGACCGGATGAAAGACCCCCAGTGGGAGGCCTTGAGAAATGTCAGTCTGTGCCATCAGCTTGACATTTAGGGGCCAAGCCAAGCCCTGTGGCCACCAGTTATTGTCTATCGCAAGGGACTATCTCGGGGAATAAAGTTAATTATGTGTGCATCAATCGCCTCTACTGTTAAATTATCGGCTTAGCCGGAATGGAATCGATTTGATTGACTTGAGTGCAGGGTCACAACGATAAGGTCCAAGCGGTTTGAACAGAAACTAATTACTCTCCAACGTGCCAAAGATATCAATATCAATCATGTAGGCCAACTTGCTAGACTGGTAAGCCCAATTAAGCAATAGAGGATAGTGCAGCCAATCCCATTGTGAAGGATGGTGCACTGAAACACATTTTTATAACGCCTCAGAAGTGTCCAAATATGTTCATTAGGGCGGTCATCATTTGTATTTTCGTATTAACCCTCTTATACGGTGTTCATATGGCCTTTTTTGAAAACAATGCGTTTTAGGGTCTGCACTACGGCTTAAAAATGTATCACTTATACGCACCCTTTGATCAAATATATTATTTTCAGTAAGGTGGTCTTAAATGAAATGTCCTTTGTTTCAACTTCGACTTATGTTTTCCAACAAAAAAAACTCAGTCATTTGTGTAGATTATTTACTATTATTACAAATTTGCGGGGAAATCGATTTTTTTTTGAAAAAAATGTTAGCTAGAACACACGTTGAATGTGGAATTTTTAAAGAAACTTAGAATTGAGAATTAAGAATTAGATTGGATTTTTTGGACCATCCTTATACACAAATGTACACCCAAAAAAAATCGTCATCAATATGCCATTATTTAGGTGTCAATGTGATACTATTGAGTGTCAAAAATCTCTGATACGAAGAACATCTAATTGACACTATTTTGGTGACATTTTGATATTTTCGAAAATATCAATTTAACACTTTTTGGTGTCAAAAGGACACTACGCATTTTTTAGTAAGAATATGTGGTCAAATTGATACTATTTCACAGTAACTTGATACACATTCGAGGTGTAAAAAGGCCATTTTTAGGGTCAACTTGATACGATTTTAGTATCAATATGACACGAATTAATTGTTAATTTCACACCCAAAAAAAAGACCAATAATTTCTTTTTCATTTTTTTTAATACAAATTTGGTTTTTTTATTGAAGTTATATGTGTATTTTTAATCTTATAAATTTGCTGCTGTCGACCAGGTGTACATACGTGGATAGGCGGGCCATCTGCATAGAATCGTTGTCCTCCATAGTGAACTTAAATGACAAAAAATATTGCATTCAAAAATTGCAAGCGATGTGACCGTCAGTGCTTACATGCTTACATACATATATATGTGCACTGTGTATCTATGAATTCGAAGAATAACGAATAGGTACACATTCCATACATTACATACATATTACATATTATATTATTAGGAATGTACTTACTGATTCAATAAACCCTAGCACCTTGCACTGAAATATTTGACGTCTTTTTCGCAATGTCGAGCTCACAATGATTTATCGATAACTACGCTTGCTATCGATGACGATTTCTTTTTGGGTGCACGATAGGCGCAGTTCGAATTTCGAAAATAGAAATACAATTATTGGTATCGACGAGACCCTGGATTTGGTCAAAATTACACTAATTAGGATCAAAAAACATTTTTCATACAATGTAGTATACTTTTGACACTCACTTAGGATCAAATTGATCCCAAAAATTTGATCCTAGGTGTAGTGTCATTTTCACCCACACTTATCAAATTGACACTCAAAGATTTTTTTTTGGGTGTAAGACTAACAGGGTTAGGACAGTTAAATTACTTTTAAAAAAAATTTTTTTTCATTCCATTAATAACAAGATGTAAAGATGTTGGTATCCAACAAACGAAATCAATTTAAGAAAACTTTTTTAAAGGCATTACATTACTTTGAAATGCGTTAAACAATTATGTGAAAGTTCTTTGAGGTGCTGGTGTAACGTTCTAAGAGACGACAAAAACTATATATCTACGATAAGGATGCGTTATATTTCGATATCACCGCAGATGGACGAATAAAAAGTTTATTGGGGCCACACTCCATATTACCAAAGGTCTTATCAGAAATATCTGGGGTATAAATGGTGATGTGCTCGTGACATGTTGCCTCATTCGCATGAACATACTTTTGTAGCACAGTACATGGCTACTTTGTTTTTTTCGTCACATTTCTTTTTCATAAGTATATTTACTTGATGTCATATTAATTATACGAATCATATTAAATTTATGAATTAGAAATATTTTTAAAAACTCGATGTCTCAAACTTTTCTTTAAACTGAATGTTTTAGATTGTTTTGCGTTCTTACAGTGGCTCTAAAACGTTTTTAAGGCTGTACCAATAAAACAACGCCAGTTTTCTTTTTAAACAGATAATGAGTTAACTTGCTTTCTTTTCTTTTAAGTAAAAATTATTGATTAAATGAAACTTTGGATCCATATCCTCAAGCATTTTAGAGATGTTTCAGATCTATGAAATATATTGTAATATACTTTTTGGCGTAACTTATTTTTCTGCGTCAGTTCTAAAGATCTTTGATTCAAAATTATTCCTATACTAACCTATTGAAACTATAACTGCCAAAATAAACCAAACAATGGAATTTCAGTTTCATAACTAAATTTTTCAACTGATTTTTGTATTGTCTGGCAGTTTTGTTGATGGCGGATGTTGCAGGCAGAAGACAACAAGGAAGAACGCTATAGTCGAGTACCTCGACTACCAGATACCCGTTACTCAGCTAAAAGGACCAAAGGGAAATGGAGATATGCAAGCAGCAAAGCGAGATTAAAATACGCCACCTACCGGCGGTAGACAGATTTAAGCGTAATGGGCGTTAGAGTGGGCGTGGCAAATTTTTTTTTGGATCAATCGATAGGTATTGACGAGACCAATACATTTCAGTTAAAATTATTATCTAGCATGAAAACTGTGGGCGTCACAGGTTTGGTCGGTTTGTAGGCGTTAGGTATTGATGAGAATACATTTCAGTTAAAATTTGTATTCTAGCATCAAAACTGTAGGAGCCACAGTTTTGGGCGGTTTGTGGGCGTAAGAGTGGGCGTGGCACAAACTTGCGCTGCGTAAGAAGCTCAGGAATCTGCACGCCAAATCTCAATAGCCTATCTCTTATAGTTTCCGAGATCTCAGCGTTCATCCGGACAGACGGACAGACGGACATGGCTAGATCGACTCGGCTAGTGATCCTGATCCAAAATATATATACTTTATGGGGTCGGAAACGCTTCCTTCTGCCTGTTACATACTTTCCGACGAATCTAGTATACCCTTTTACTCTACGAGTAACGGGAATAAAAATACCGCTGGGATACAGGAGAAAAAAACACTTAATAGTTGTATATAAATAGTAATATTAAGAATTAAAAATAATTTAAATATTACAGTAATGTGTTATTTTGTGGCTTGTGTAGTTTCTCGCATCGGCATTCTAACGGTACGATTGACCAACAAAAGGATAATAAATGTTTGCAAGTTCAGAATGGTCGGCTCGGGGATGGACGACAGGGATTGATCCTTTTGCTGTTCCTCGGGATGATTCATCTTAACCACGCTCGCCTCGGATGCGGCGCGCCAACTGGATGTCCCTGGGCATGATGGTTACACGCTTGGCGTGGATGGCGCACAAGTTAGTGTCTTCGAATAGACCCACTATATAGGCCTCGGCTGCTTCTTGAAGGGCTCCAATCGCCGCCGATTGAAAGCGCAAATCGCTCTTGAAGTCCTGGGCGATTTCACGAACCAGTCGCTGGAAGGGGAGCTTGCGGATGAGCAGCTCGGTCGACTTCTGGTAACGGCGGATCTCACGAAGGGCCACTGTCCCGGGACGATAGCGATGGGGCTTCTTCACCCCACCAGTGGTTGGCACCGATTTGCGGGCATTCTTGGTGGCCAGCTGCTTCCGTGGAGCCTTTCCTCCGGTCGACTTTCGGGCGGTCTGCTTAGTACGGGCCATATTATCTGTTTTAACGTTAAAGACGACACAAAATTATATTTTCACAAGCTCAACTTTTTTTACAACTTTTTTACACGAGAACGAACCAATTCGGACGGGAAACACTTTCACAATAAATAACACCCTGACTATTTAGGACAATGTGTTATATGTCAAAAATTGAGAAATCTCAAGGTTCACTCAGTTCCAAGTTGAAATGAAAATCATACTACAGTTTTTGACAATCAATTGAATCTACACAAAGTTTCTTATATCATACTGTTTAACACCACTTAAATGTTTTCAGGACCTTAAAAAACAGTTTGGATACGCTCGAACATCATCTAAAATTTTCAGGTCCCTAAAACAATGTTTTGGCACAACCTAAAATTTTAATTTTAAAAACTTTCCCAAAATCTAGATTTTTGTATGACTTTGTATAACCAAATGAGGTGTAATTCGACGCGTATTTTCTGTATCCCCCTTATCCCACATTTGCAATGCCCTTTTTCCCAAACCAATTACAATTTGTATGCAAACCTTTTAGTTTTTGCGATAGCTTTCGGTCGGAAAATCACGGTAGATTTTCAGTTCTTGATGTATATATAGTAATCGCCTTTGAACACTTTCCTGGTGCGCTTCGTCACTAAGTCAACTGCCGTCCACAGTGAGGGTTTAGTATATTGACTTTTACAGTGCTTCTAAAACTTTTAAAAGTGACTGTACTTATAAAACAGATTATGAGTTAGCTTGCAGTATTTTTTTAAGAACTAAGTACAAATTAATGATAAAATGAAACGTGTCTACTCTAATACATTTTAGAAATCATGATGGAGCCATACCCCTTGAGACCTAAGATGTTTGACAGCAATGACATATATTGTAATATACTTTTGGGGCCGTCCATATACCACGTGGACAAATTTTAAGCACTTTTTGACCACCCCCCTCCCCCCCTCGTGGACAATCGTGGATTTTTAACTAACCATCCCCCCCCCCCTGTCACTCAGAACTTACTTGATTTAAACTAGATTTCTTCTCGAACCTGAAAATTCGAAGGCAATGGTCAGGGTTCTTTGATCAGTCACGGGTTTTTGACCTAGGATTCCTTTACCTTGTAACCAATTTGTTTACATCCTATATATTGCCAGATATATTCAATAAGAAACAAATACTTTGTTTGTGGGACACAGACAACAGTCCGTAAAGCCTTTTTATATTTTAACGGTTCAGTTAGTAATGGTAGCTTAAGCCTATTTTGTAATTTTTATCCAGTTAAAACCATATATATCCAAATTATATACTTCCAATGGGAAATCAGTTTCCTGCAAGGATCACGCATCAGTGGCCATTGCCGTTGGCGGCCAGTTTGGCGGACCCGTTGGTGTGTCCATTGGAATGGAGCTTCTTGCCATTGGTGGCTGATTCAAAGGCACAGGGTTGGCCCAGGGTCTTAGCCCTCTTCACAGGTGGCTCATTCGTGATGGTGGCGAAGTCGAACTGTGGATATAAAGGGGGTTTAGGATCCTTGATGGCTGGAATTCAAACGGATTTGGCTTACCCGCTGCTCCAGGGTCATGTGTGAGATGGGCGGCAGACCGATGCAGCCGCGCAGGATGTTCTCGATGGCGGCGCGCTGGCGGAAGAGCGAGTTGACCACCTGGGAGCCCTGTGGCACCAGAGGCGCCTTGCACAGGTAGCTTAGCAGGGAGAGTACCGGCTTGAAGGGCACCCACGGGGCGGATTCGTTCTCAGCACTGCGCAGCTGGATGCGGGTGCTCAGCTCGCCAAGGATTACCAGGTCCAGGATCAGGGGCGTGGCCAGCAGCGAATCCTCGCATGTGTTGTGGATCACCAGGGTGTTGTGGCCACCCATCATGATCTCCGATGTGTACTCGTCCATGGCCCGCTTGCTGTCGCCCACGTAGGGCACGTACTTGATCACCACCACATGGTCGGGGTGCTCATCGGGTCCGTAGAGCAGCCTGTTGGAGGCCACCATGTCGTCCACCACGTTACTCTTGGAGATCTGCCGGCGGAAGGGTATTTAAAAGTTGAACAGGACTTACGGATATCCTTTGAACACTTACCTCCTTGGAACGGAACTGCTGGGGAGCGGACAGGTTCTTTCCATCGTTGTTGCCCAAGTGGTTGTAACTGGCAATGGACACCGGCTTGATGCCAGCTCCCACCAGGAAGTCCACGAGCACGCTCTTGATCTTCGTCTGGCCGGACTTGAAGTCGTCGCCGGCAATGAAGACCTTCTTCTCCTCGGCCAGCTGGATGAGTCCGGGCACAAAAGTGTTTTGCGGAGAGCCATTGATGTATGTGCACTGCGGGATAAAAGAAACATAGGATGGGGATTAAGTACAAAGTCTTCAAAGAGTGTTCTCCAAAGCCCCATGAACCGTTTTCTCGAGTGCCAGTTAAGGTACGGGTTAGCTCTCACTTAATTAATCCAAGAGCCAGAAAGATTTAACTCTCAACGCTCGAGAAAAGAGACACTTTATTATTCCAATACATCTTAACCGACACTCGAGAAAATGACCCTAAACAAACTAAATGATAATACATAGATCCCATTAATTTCCGATTTCTCAATGTCTGGTAACTTTTATCATTAAGTTTAATTTCTGACTCGGATAAACAATTTTTTAAAACGAGATTCTGTTTAGATCACATTTAGAAATCGATAACCAACAAGAACCTTAACATGGGATTGAGAAATCGCCCCTAGATATAGAATCTGTAACCATTAAAAGTAGATGCACTCACCCCCTCGGCGATGCTGGCCATTGCGAAGATCGTCGAAGGTGACACCTCCGAGTGGTTGGCCTTCAGGGAAGCGAGGAGCTCCTGGCTGGTGGTGTTCAGTCCCACCTGGACTTCGGAGAAGCGCTCCGTGTTGGCGGTCCACAGAACGATGACCGAATCGACGCCGCTGCTCTCGCGGAAGTCACGGATGTCCTTCCGGATCTGCTCGTACTGCTCCAGACGAGATCCACGAATTAAGTTGTCGGCCCTGTCCGACTGATTGGCCGCAATGAAGTCCGGATCATAGATAGACGCACGTGGTCGCATCTTGGCGAGCTTGTCGTAGATCTGATCCTGCAGAGCCACGTCCAGGACCTCGGCCCTGCGCATAGCGTCGCCCAAGTGGAGCCCGCTAATGTCCCAGCCGTCCACGATAATGTTATCGGGCTCCACCATGGGCAGCAGCTCCTTCATGGGCACGTAGACGTCGCCGCCGACCTCATCGGATCCGATGAACACGGTGGAGGCCTGGGTGATGGAGCCGAACCAGTTGGCCTCCTGGATGCCCGTCCGCTTGCGCCACTTCAGCTGGCGGCGATTGGCCTCCAGGGCGGCGGTCAGGGTGGAGCCGTTGTTGCCACCCCATCCCACCAGCATCACGCCCAGCTTGGGCACCTGGCGACCCGTCCGTATCTTCAGCGCCGTCGTTTGGGGGTGCACCTGCAAAGATTGGCAAGAGATTAGGTCCGATAAGCCTTGGAAATGGCACAAGCACAACCCGTTTGGTCTTATTATAGGTCCGGCCACCTTATCGCCATATTAAATCGTGCCACCCCGGTCAGGTAGCCAAAAGCATAAATTATGATCGCCTGATTTCTGCGAAGCGAACCTGATATCAATACCTTTCAATGGTTTTTGGCAATGGCAATGGGGGGTATTTGTGATTGGACTCTCTTGACAACAGGTGGCTTTGATTTTTACTACACTGTATCAGTGGTATTAGGGTTATAATTACTACACTCGAATTTATGTAATCGTATTATTCAGTATTATTTATTATGATACCCCCAAATTACTTTTACCCCCACATTTTTGTCCTTAAAACAAATTGAAGCAAAGTTTATTAGTAAAGTGGATACAAATCTTTCCAATAGTTTAGGACGCTCTCAGCTTGTGCGATTGAAACTCGAAGAACATCTTATGTATATATAATGGACTCAGTTAGCACAAATTATAATCTTACATTTTTTTTAGATGGAACCCAAGTTCTATTCAGTTTTGTTCCTTAGCCTAATTTGTATTAAATCGATTTTTAAAATTAAAAAAATAATATAGGAATTATGAAAATTGACAAGTATCGTAAGGTCTTATAACTTATTTTTGGGTGTTGTTTACTCAAGCAGTTCTTGTCCGATTTCTGCCGAGTCAACGCACGTTGATTTGAACCACAAACAAAAACTGATGAATAAGTAATGATAATGATGATGATGATTGCATTCTAAATTTGGGATCGTGTTGGTCCAAGGTCCACTATTGGGTTCTCCAAAAGCCGGCCGGCAAAATTATCATTGGCCGAGGAAAGGAAAGGAGGCTCGCTCTTTGGCCGGCTAAGAGAGTCCACTTCTCTTTGGGCCGCTCTCTCTTTTTGTGGACATCGCCTGACAGTGACCTTGAGGCGCAGCAAGTGTCTGTGGGTGGGAACGGGAGTTGGGTGTTGTGAGTGTGGGTGGCGGCAGCCAGGGGATGTAAACAGAGCACGTACCGCGACCACAATCACTTGGAAATGGGCTATCGGGTTTCGATTCGGGTCTAATTGCCATCCCTATTTGTTTAGGTGCCATTTGATAGTCGCAAAAGGCGCCTGCGCACAGAGTCACGCCACCCGCAGTCCAAAATAATGGAATAATGACGAAATATCAGCCGTATTTATTGTCAGCTGTTTTCCCGAACAATCAATAAACTGTAACTGTAACGCTTCGTGTAAGTGAGTAAGACCCCGCCCCCGCTTATCGGTATATTTATCTGCTGCGAATCGGGGAGGGGTCCCTTGGCACTCGGGTAGTTCGGCACTATTCGGTTCTTGGCTAGATAATGGAAAGTTTCACTGTCCCTACACCCAGAAAAATGAACTCTTAAGCTCTGCTTTCCGTAAATATTGGTATTTGGCATAAATATTACGAAATATGATATAATCCTAAGTTAGACTCGATATAATATTTGGCAAACGGGCACTGTACACTGTCAAAAAACACAACGTTTAAGCTGATTGGATCTTTTCTCATTATTGTCGAAAAGTATTAACTATGTTTTATAAATAAAGATGGAAATACCTGATTAGAAAATTATTTGCCTTAGAAAAGAAT